AACCCTAAACCCTAAAACACAAACTCCACCAAAACCCTTAACCCCAAACCCTAAAACACAAACTCCACGAAAACCCTAACCCAAACCCTAAGGCAAAATCCCGGCCTCGGGAGCTTTGGGAAGAGAGGAGATGTAATCCTCTCAGCGTCTTTGCTTTAGGTTTAGGGTTTAGGGGTTGGGGTTAGATTCAACAAGGCTTACAGTGGTACATTGGGGGTTGGATTTCGGAGTTTGGACGTCCAACCTGGGGTTTGAGTTCGAGAGGTTTAGCGGGTGTCGGGTGAGGGTTTGGGGTTTAGGGTTTAGGGTTTAGGGTTTAGGGTTCTGACGAGGTTTTTGAAGAATCCTACTTATCCAGTTGCCACGGCTGCGGGCTGAGGTTGAAGGTTAGTGTTCTCAGCGTTTTAGGGGCTTACGTCGGGCGTTAGGCTATCCATCTATCTATCTACCTACATTTCTGTCTGTCGTCTGTCTACCCATCCACCCATCAACACATCACCCGTTTCACCCGTCCACTCATCCAGACATCACCCCACATGCCCACCCGCCCGCCCACCCACCCGGCCACCCACCCGGCCACCCACCCGGCCACCCATCCAGCCACCCATCCATGCATTTATCCAATCGTCAATCTTCCATCGATCCATCCGCCCATCCATCCATCCATTAGTTTACGTGTCTTGCTTTTTTTCTGTCCATCTCTGCATCTATCTTTCTACCTAGCTAGCTAGCAATCTAACTATCCATCTATCAGCGCTACGAGTAGCTACCTAGCTATTGTTGTATCTAAGCGGGAACTTCTGTCTACTCTGCGAAGGCTACCTTCCCTAAACCCTAAACCCTAAACCCTAAACCCTAAACCCTACCTCTTGGTAACCGGTACTCGTAGCTTTGTCCGGGAGACCTAGACGCTGAACCGCCTGCATAGCAGCACTGCAACCTGAACCCCTAAGCTTACCTGTGGTCTCCATGGTAGTTCCTTTCTGGGGATACTTTATAAAAATCCTTAGTATATAATGGTTAAACCAAAGAAAGGAACTACAATGGAGACTATAGGTAGACTCTCTATGCGAACCCTAAGCCGCCTAGGCCTATTTGGACCTCCTCCTCAGCGAAGTCTGCCTGCAGATCCCGGAAGAAGTGTGGCACTCGCCAGAAGTCCTGAACACATAGTCGGGCTTTGCGGTACGGCTGGTATAGGGTTTGAAGGATACATCTTGACGTGGGCAGGCCATAAGAAAGCACAGAAAGTAGCCCATCGGTTCTCTTTGCTGAAATGGAAAGTACCCTAAACCCTACACCCTGTGACGTTCGGAAGCGCCGTGACTGCTTGGGTTCCCAGGGGCCTCTGCCTCAACAACACCCACAAGCCCCGCAGCTAATTCCCTGACCCTAAAACCCTAAACCCGAAACCTCCGACGTGCCCGAGGCACCTCAAAACCGCAAGATCTATGAGCTCAGAACCCACAAAAGGCGAAACTTCAACCTAACATAAAGTTCATACTTCAGACCTCCATATCAAGTTTCTGTAGGAGGTTCCTTTTTATACTGTTTAGAACTAATGAAAAACTAAAAGACCATCCATGCCATGATTCTTTCCATCATGGACATATAGGGCAATTTTAAGCCCCAAACCCTAAAGCCTAAAACCTAAACTCGATAGCTTAACCCTAAACCCTAAACCCTAAACCCTAAACCCTAAACCCTCAGAATAAAACCCCGAAGCCCCCCCAAACAGCTTAACCTTAGAGTCATGTCCTGGCTCTTGACGTAGTCGCGGAGCTCCTCCGACCGCCGGGACGCCGTGAGCGCCAGGGTGATTTCCGGGCGCGGCTCCATGGACTTTCCTCTTTGGGGTTTAGGGTTTTATAGGGTTTAGGGCTTATAGGGCTTATAGGGCTTATAGGGCTTATAGGGCTTGTAGGGCTTAGGGTTTAGGGTTTAGGGTTTAGGGTTTAGGGTTTAGGGTTTAGGGGTTTAGGGGTTTAGGGTTTTACGGTTTCGGCTCTGGGTTCGCCTAAACAGGGGACTACATAATGGGCATCCCTCAGGTGGACATGGGATTCAGCTGAAAGCTGAAGCTAGTTGATCATCCAAATAAGATTTTGGGATGTGTTTGGGGTAAGGCTATGATCAGGAAACCCTAAGGAATAATACTCGCAACTACTCAGGCCCAATATCTATACTAGATTTAGACTTAGTATCCCGCCCTGAGGGACATGGCTTAGGGCGCAGCAGGGATGTTATATGGATACCTTAAACCCTAATCATCCCCGCAAACCCTAAACATCCCTAAACCCTAATTCCCAAACATCCCCAAACCCTTTAAAGCCTAAACCCCAAACATCCCCCAAACCCTAAACCCTTAGAGGAAGCGTGTTCTTGGTGATGAGGGCTCAGAATGTAGGCCTTATGGGTAACGCTACAACCGAATGAAGCAGCTGGGGAGCCGATAGTCACTGAGACTCGCGGCTGTGTGGCGCGGCTCGACGAAGCCATCCTTACTCTCTCTCTCTCTCTCTCTCTCGCTCTATCTCTCTTCTCGGGTTTAGGGTTTAGGGTTCTCGGGTTTAGGGTTCTCAAACTACTCTCTCTCTCTCTCTCCTCGGGTTTAGGGTTTAGGGTTCTCGGGTTTAGGGTTCTCAAACTCTCTCTCTCTCTCTCTCTTCTCGGGTTTAGGGTTTGGGGTTTATAGGGTTTGGTCTCTCTCTCGCTCTCCATCTCCATTGAGGACGTAAGTATTTTGGGCTAAGGGTTCAGGCATTAGGAGTTTGCGTGAAAAGCCCAGTGGCGTAGCAACTGGGGCTATGAATAAAGTAACTAAACCAAAGCAACTTGTGTTCATTTGGGCGCGAATTTTCGGTTTCGGAATTTCATGGGGCTTAGGAATAAAGGCTCAGGACCTTTCGGCTTAGGCCTTTGGAGTTTTGGGCGGAGGGAGTTACGACGTTGGGGTTCGGAGTTTTTGGTCTGCAGGCTTACGGAAGGTGGGTTTCGTGCCTCGGACAAGAAGGTCTTGGGCTTGGAAGCTTAGGAGGATTTAAGTAGAAAGCCTCCGCAGTGAGGCCCAAGTCATGTGGCAGACCATGGTTTAGGGCTATCTTTGGGTTTAGGGTTTAGGGTTTAGGGTGTTTTGAGAACAAACGCGCCAAAACCCCACAGGTCCCCAAACCCCCGCAAAACCTCAACCCAAATCCCGGCGGCCCAAAACCCGAATCCCTACGTCCGCACAGCCAGTAGTTCTCAAAACTTCAGGTTTACCTTTCGGGACCGTAAGAAAACACAAGTTTTGCAGGGTCCTTATAGATTCCATAGTCGGCTCTTCCTAACCTCTTACTACCTCGACGTCTCAAACTCTCCAAGGGGCGAGACATTCTCGGCGCGGGGACCTGCTCCCGATGAGGAGCTCCGAACCACCTAGAGCAGCAGTTTGGAAGAGTTCAGGGTTTAGAGTCGTTGGGCTTCAAGATGTATAACCGTTGAGGGTCCAAACGTGTTCTCACTGCTGCTGCCTTGTCTCGCATGCAAGCATCGCAAGATGTCTGACATCATATGAAAGCCTCAATAATTTAGCAATGTTTTTCTCAGGGCTCCGCATGGCAATTTAACATGTATATGTGTGTATGTATATATACATATATATATGAATATATGTGTATATATAGACTAATGACTAATGACGAATAGACACACACACACACACCCCAGTGTAATTTCTTGGAGCTCCTATATTCCCGCGCACTTCGCAACTCAGCCTTAGAACCAAGGGGCTCAGGTGATGTACAGGGTTCAGGGTTAGGGTGCTTGAAATGTTCGGTCTTCTAGTTTTCTGCTTCGAACTTAATCAGAGGAGTCTGTGATTCGCCTCGTCTGTCGCATTCGCGATGATGGCACCGATGCAACCTCGAAAATCGGCACAGAAACAGATGCTTCTGAAACTTCTTGAGACAATGCTCAACATAACGTATTCTGTGAGCGGTGCATGTCGCTGTCTCGGAAGAGGGAGCCTCTCTCGGGGTAGTTCGAAACCCTGAACACCCATTCAGAGTCTGAAGGTTCTAATCTTTGTTTATGATTCTTCTAAAAATTTCCGAGCAAGTGTGGCTTTCTCAGAGCCATGCAGCTTTCTGCTTGGGCATCGTCGCTCTCATCGTCGCCAGGAGCTCCGTCCGAATCCGCCATGTTGGCCAATTTGGGGCTTGTTGATCTTTTTAATACCCGGAAGCTTGGCGAGCCGAATTTCGAGCTTGTGGTAAATAGGCGAAGTCCCCAAAAACCTAAACCCTAAATCCTATTGGATCAGCAAGTTTGCTCATAGTGAGACCTCCTGGGCCCAAGCTGCCACGACCATGATTCCTTTGGGCTTCTGGTACCTATCTGTCTAGCTGCCTATGTGTCTATCTATCCGTCTATCTATCCATTTTCTGTCTGTCTACCTACGTAAACTTATGTCATGTTTGTAAAGGGATGGTGATACTGCATGATGACTGATGTCTATGCTAGCTGTTCGTGCCGCACAACGTGTCGCAGCGCAGGAATTGGCAATCAGTCTTCCAATAGGAAATGTCAAGCGACTGCGGTTTCAGGGTTTAGGATGTGGACTTCAAGATGGTCCAACAGTTGAAAGTGCCATGTTTATTCTCAGAGAGCCTAACATCGATCCACATTCTCAGTGGTGGAGGCATGCGATTCAGAGGTTCGCTGCAGGATTTCTACATCCAGAGAATACGGGAAAGCCTGAACATTCCCATAAAGACAATAGGAACCGGGTATTGGCTTCTGCAATAACTTGGCCATCACTTCTGGAAATCCTTCTGCCTGCATGCTGAACCCTACATCGAGAGGTTACAGTCATGGACCCCCTTCAATTGCTGATGCTATGACGAAGGTAAAGTAGACCACCCTAAACCTTAAACCTTAAACTCTAAACTCTAATGAAACCATATAGTAATATTGACAGAAAGCTGGAATTCTAGAGGGCAAAGTCAAGCGAACGCCGCCTTGGCAGTGCCTTTCACGCCGAGTTGACAGCCGAACTCATCTCGACCTTCGTGTACTCACGGGTGGGGTAGCCAGGCCTTAATGTTACTATTCGAAACAAAAAACAATTATGATGACGATCATGATGATGGTTGTGGTGATGATGATCAACATGGTGAACCACTCTTAACCCTAGAGCTCCAAGCCCCCAATTCTCGAACCGTTCGTAGGTCAATGCCAGGATGCAGAGGGTTTGAGCTTGACACTTGCAGCAGCAATCACGAAGCTTCATACAACGCCTGGACCCAACAACTCTGAACCCATGACCCAAAAAACTCTACGTATCTCACACAGGTTATAAAACTCTAAACCTTAATAATTACACAAACTCAACCCTCAACGACCCAAACATCTGTCATCTTTCGGAAGGGCTCGCTATTTGGGCTTCGAAGCGTTACCCCCCAAAAGCAAACCCTAAACTAAACCCAAGCCCCTAACCCTAACTCAAATCCTAAACCCTAAACCCCAAACCCAAACCCTGTACCCGAACCAAAAATCTTACCAAGAGAAGACTTTTGAGTTGCCTCAATGAACCTCGACCCCCAGAAACGGTTTAGGGTTTAGGGTTTAGCGGTTTAGGGCTTAGGGTTCGGGGTTTAGGGTTTTGGTTTAGGGTTCTGGTTTAGGGGTTTAGGGTTTAGGGTTCCGGGTCTAGGGTTAGTGTTTAGGGTTTGGGCTTAGGGTTTGGGGTTTGGGGTTTCGGGGAAAAGTTCCAAGATTGGTGCCTTCCCAGGCCAAGGTGGCAGAGAGTTCGTAGCAAAGGATACGCCTGAAGCATGGTCTTCAGATATAGAGATAGATATAGGTATAGATGTAGATATAGATTTAGGTGCAGATGTAAATATGGCATAGATATGGCTAAAGATGTGGATATAGCAACATATATATATATATATCTGGAGAGAAATATAGATATAGACATAGATATTGCTGTGTATATAGATATAGATGCAGATATAACATAAATATAGACATGCACATAGATATAGATATAGATGCAAACGTAAATGAACATACATAAATTTCGGTCTAGATATAGATACCGCTGTAGCTACGACTGTAGACTTACATGTAGAGACGGACTTGGATCAATTTAGGCATTGATACAGAATGATCCAGTATTAGATCTAGATACAGATGATACGGAACGGATATAGCCTAGAGGTGTATAGATAGATAGATGGATTCGCCTGAAGAGTGCCTTTTCCCGAGATTTATCAAGCTTGATGGAAGTTTTATGGGGTTGTCAGAAAGGGTTTGAGGCTCGCCTGAAGACTTCTCGTGCTCTGCATTCCTCATTGCTTCTGGCATTACGGTTGAGGGGGTTGGGGCCCGCAAACACGGGAAGGATTTCTGCTTTTTTGGACAAACGGCTCCAACATTTTATGGGTTTTGGGCTAAGGGTTTAGGGCTTATCTGGATCGTAAACAACCTTCCGTTTTAAGGACTTCTATAGGGTCCAGGTAGGGTTTTTAATTAAAGGTTTCAATGGCTGGCAAACCCAGGGCCTGGCGTATCTTACATGCCACGGTAGCTGAGAGGTACTTAAGGAGGGTAGGGGTTTAGGGTTCAGGGTTGGTTTAGGGTTTAGGGTTTAGGGTTTAGGGTTGAGGGGATACCCTCCGACCCGAATCCTAAGCTCTCGACCACGAGAACCCGAGAACCCTCAGGATTTGGGGTTTATGGTTTAGGGTCTCAGACCGCAAAAAACAAAAACATAACCTGCAGACCTTATCCCAAGTAGGGCTCTGAGACACCTTACCTGTAATTAGTCTCCATTGTAGTTATATTCTTGGGTTACCTTGTATAGGATCCTGAGTATCAAGCTGGTTAAACCAAAGGAAAGGCACTACAGTACAGTGGAAACTACTGGTAAACATGGAATGCGCCAAGTTTGACTTTCCTAGAGGGTACGTATATGCTAAGATTATGGAAGTAAGAACTAAAAGACCCTCCCTGTTATAGGTTTTGGGTCCTGATCCCATCATTACAACCAATGTATGTATATATATATATGTATGTACACACAGATGTACGTATGTATGTATGTATGTACGTACGTATGTATGTATATACCTGTGTAGTTATATACATATACACATGCACATACATGTAAACATAAGTGTGTCTGTATATATATATATATGTGCATATACTGCATTTATGTATGGACCCTCTGGGCTTTGTGTGGCTTGACAAGTCTCTCATCGTGGTTACCTCTTCTAGGGCCGAGGGGGTTGGATGGGCTATTGCAAATACAGTCTCTTTATAATTTGTGTATAGCCGCAGTGGTTTCGTCTCATGATCATTTAAGTACCCAGAATCAGAACATCCTCAGCATGGAGACCCTGATCAGAATACCATAGCCATTAACCCCCCCGCCCCCCAAGCCCCCAAGCCCCTAAAGCCTGAACCCACAATTCCGTGAGCTCGCACTGGAGGATTCCCTAAACCCTGACCGACACCCTGGTACGTAAAAAGTTGAAGAGGTCGTTCATTCTGAATCCGGGATCCCCACTTTCCTTTTCGGAGTGCGAAGCTTGCATCACCTGTGGTCGTGGGGTTGTTGCGCTTCCAGGGCTTCGTTCAGAGTTCGGGGGCTTGGGGGTGGATTTCGCTTGACCGTAAACCGTCATGGCATCATGGCCATCCACAAGCTGAACCCATTGAAACGACCCTAAACCTTAAATCCTAAGCTTAAACCCTCCATCGACAAAACATAGAAACCCTAAGCCCCCCAGAAACTGAAATCCCTAAACCCTAAACTTCGGCCCTAAACCTTAAACCCTAATGGAAACTATAGGGAACAACAAGAGCTCACAGCCGGGCTCACCTGCAAGCCCAGTGCACACTTGGGCTTTGGGGTTTGGGTGTTTAGGGGCCTAGGGCTTTAGGGTTTGGGTTTGGGGTTTAAGGTTTCAGGGTGTAGGGCTTGGAGTTTGGGGTTTAGGGGTCTAGGGGTCTAGGGGTTAGGGCGCTAATCTATCACTGGAGTTTCGGTATGAGTTGAAAGCGTAATAAATGCGTCGGGACTTCGAGAGGAGATTGTCCCAAAGTAGCACTCGATGCCAACAGCAAGCCCTTCCTAAACCCCTAAACCCACATACCCTGAACCCGTCGGTTAAAACTCTAAGATGCCCTAAATCCCCAAACCTAAACTCCTAACCCCTAAACCCTAGGCTTTAGCAGAAATTCCAGATCGTCTGGCAAACCACTCCCGACAAAACAAATCAAGTATCCGGTGCACCACCTCCGGAAAAAGCACCCCGTGTCAACCGGCTTAGTGGATTGTGGTCCCTAAACCCTAAACCCTGAACCCTAAACCCTAAACCCTAAACCCTAAACCCTAAACCCTAAACCCTAAACCCTAAACCCTAAATAGTTAGAGTGGAGGCCTCCGGGTGTGGAGTTTGGCTACGGGTTCCAGGGTTCAGGGTTTGGGGCCCCAGGGTCGAGTTTCGGGGCTTCGGGGTTTTATTCTGAGGGTTTAGGGTTTAGGGTTTAGGGTTTAGTTCACCATGGCCTTGATCGAATCGCCATAGCGGGGTTTTTGGGCTGGATCTGATAGACACCGCTATGCCTAGAACCTGAATCCTCGGGTTCGAAACCCCCAAGCTCGAAGCGGTTAAGGGTTTTTGGGTTTAGGGTTTTTGGGTTTAGGGTTTAGGGTTTAGGGTTTAGGGTTTAGGGACCACTAGAATAACTACCCTTATCCCTTCTGCTCAATCGGATTTTGAGGTTGCTTCTTAAGCTTAGGGTTTAGGGTTTAGGGTTTAGGGGTTACCTATAGTCTCCATTGTAGTTCCTTTTTTTGGTTTAACCAATTATATATTAAGGATTTTATAAGGTATCCCCCAAAAGGAACTACAATGGAGACTACAGGTAGAACCCGAAACCGAGACCCGACGGCACTCTACACCCAGAATGCCCTAAACTCTGAAATCAACGCGGCCTACACTAGACTTACACAGCCCCATGGCTCCGTACAAAAAGACCACGCAAACCCTATAACACCCCTAAAAAAAAAGCACTCGCCCTAAACCGTAAACCGTTAAACCGTTCCGATACCCTCAAAAAAATCGACTACCAAGGCGATGTTGCCTCGAACGGAGATGTCTTTCATCACGAAGCTGACACCCGAAAGTGCCGGCACCTTCTTAGTGTTTACGTATCTGTTGGGGGGTTCTTGTAAGGGTTCCTTAAAGGGCTCAACTAAAAGGTGCGTTGATAGGTATTGTAACCAGTATTTCGAGGACTTAGAGAATTCTTATAATTGTTAGAGACTTGGGCTTCGGATTTGGATGAACCCCGGGCGCCTGGCTCTCTAAATGTTTAGGATCCCTGTTTACAAGGTCCTTGGTCAAGGGGTGAATCCAAAATCTCCAAGAGGAGGCCGTAATTTTGGAGACCCCGGAGACCCTTAAGCCTTAAACTGAACTGGCGACGTAAGGAACGCAAGCAGTTCCGGTATCTTACCTTTCTAACCTCCGGCTCTGATTTCAACCCTTCAAGCAATGTACTTTGTAGAGTTGCACCCATCGACGTGCAAGAGACCATGGGAGAACACCATGATTAGGGGCCAGGCTTTGAAGTTTACCAGCCAGCGGCAAAGTATTCAGTTGAGTTTAGGTGTGGCGCTTAGAGGCTTGCTGCTTCGGACAGAATATTGGGTGTTGAGCTAGATTCATCCCACGCCCAAGCTACAATTCTTCAGCACAGGGTCGAGCTAAAAAGAGAGATCCATGGAATCAAATTTATCTGAATCTATCTATCTATCCAGGCTCGCTGTTAAACCCCGAAACGATAGCATTGGTAGAGCTTCTGCGCCAACCTCTTGGCACTACATGCCCATCCGACGATTACAACGGTGAATCCTACATCTTGCCCGTGACACTTTATAGGGGCCTTAACAGTTCAAGTTGTGGTAGACTAAACTTATATAGGATTTCCAACAGAATTACCATATCGTTGACCCTACATTCTCTACGCAACTGGGCTATTAGCTGTGGGGCGATGACTCTGAGGCTCTTGGGTTCAGACCCCAACGTCTGGTTTCGGTGCTTCGCCCAGAGTCAAGAGAGCCCACCATATGGGATATGCCCTAAATATCCCTAGGTCATACGAGTGAGTCTAACTTGTACGATGGCTTAGGATATATTCCTTAACATAGGGGTATCGGGCTCCGTGCAAGCTTCCACAGAGCAATTCGTCTTCAAGCTGCTATCAGGTACGGTGGGCATAGTACTTATGTGACGAATGACTGCTATCCTGATCAGACCAGCACACGCAAGTCCCCAGGACGTAAACCCGGAACAGTCAAGCCAGCAAAGTGACGACCCCAATCAAACTCAATTGCCTGGCAACAACTTCCACATTTTGACTCTGCAGGCAATCACCAGAAGGATGGGTATAAGCGCATCGCGCATCAGGTAACTCAAACACGATGCTCACCGGCTCATCGCCGTTGCATGACTGATATTATCAGGCCAGGAGCAGACGACGGAACAGAAGCCAGCGACCAAGGTAGCTCTTTCTCCCGAGATAACCGGGGGCATACACGCTGTGGTTGCACAGCCCTGCGGATGGAAACATGCCAGGGCATGCGCTGGACTCAGGATTATGGATAGCCGATGCCAAACCCTACCGCTAAAACCGAACATCAGCACTGCGTCACATCGTAACATGGAAGGGCTTTATGCGCAGGGGTTTTGGGCTTCAGGCTCCGGGTTGAGGGCTTTGAGTTTTGGGGCTGAAGGATTGGGATTTAGGTTTCAGGATTTCGGGTTGGATTCAATTTTCTACGACTCAAAACTGCAGATACTGTATCTTGAGTCTTGAGCCCCACTATTACGCCACTACTTCTGCCACTTAAACAATGACCCCAGCAAGGTGCTACAACTACATCTCCCTACCATCGGATGATACTAGTGGACACTTGAAGCAACGAGTTGCACCATACCGTGTATACACTACCCCTAGTCTACCTGATCTTTCAGCCTACCTTGAGAATCACCAAACTCTGGTTGAGAGCAACGATAGGTAAACCGCCTCCGATCCCAACATGGGGCCCTTATCGTGGACTAAAGCCGAAGCCTAAGCTACTAGTACGATATGTACCAGGAGAAGATGATTCAGGTTTTGGGTTTTGGTTTTAAGGTTTACGGCCAATACCTATATAAGGTCCCCAACACAAGGACCTTCGCATTACAGTAGGGTTGATCGAGCCCACGACGGTGATTCACGGATACCCTAAACGCTAAGCCTGAAACCCTAAACCCTAAACCCGAAACTCTAAACCTGAAGCCCTAAACCCTAAACCCGAAACTCTAAACCTGAAGCCCTAAACCCTAAACCCGAAACTCTAAACCTGAAGCCCTACACCCTAAACCCGAAACTCTAAACCTGAAGCCCTAAACCCTAAACCCGAAACTCTAAACCTGAAGCCCTAAACCCGAAACTCTAAACCTGAAGCCCTAAACCCTAAACCCTAACAGCCGAGAGCGCGAAAGAAGGCCCAGGGCATGTAAGAGCTCCAGACGAGGGTCCGATGCGGCCAAAGCCCGCCAAACTTCAGCAGTCTAGGGTTTGGGGTTTAGGGTTTCGGGTTCAGTATCAGGGTTTAGGGGTTCACTATAAGGGTTCAGGGTTTAGGGTTTTGGGGTTTAGGGTTCACTATAAGGGTTTAGGGTTTAGGGTTTAGGGTTCACGATAATAAGGGTTTACGGCAGGCGCGACGTTTTCGGCTAGGAAGAACACGAATCCCAACCATCATCTTCACCCACCTAAGCCCTAAATCCCAAACTCTAAACTTTAGAAGCACTAAATGCACTAAACCCTTAACTCTAAACCTCAAGCTCTAAAGCCTACAACGTGCCTCTGAGCAACGCAGCTACGCTAAATCCTGAGCTCCTTAAACTCCTGAACTCTTGGTCTCCGGTGCTGAAGAACTCCGAGGAACAACAGCTGAAGTGCTCGAAAGATGTAGGTTTAGGGTTTCGGGCTTATAGGGTTTAGGGCCCCAGTGGTTCAGGGTCCAAGCTTTAGCATGATTTAGGGTCAGGGGGTTCAAGCTTTAAGGTTGGGTGTGGATATATAGACTGCATGTACGCAGCACCCTAGACGTAAGACTCACAAAGGCCTAAACCCCAGACCCCGAAACCGTTAGCATATCTCAGGCTCTGTAGGCTAGGGTTTACGGCTATAGACTATAGAACAATGACGAGTCCGCTAGGTCACAAGAACCACTAGGGAAGGTACATCACATCGCAGGACGTTGGCAGGGGTTGGCCCCAGCGTCTGTGGTCGCTTTGCAGACATCCGTTTCTCAGCAAGCACACCCGAGGAATTCTCCGAAAGATGGGGCTCCTCGCTTAATTCTCTGGCGGCTGGTCGGGAGAAAAGGAAAGCTGTTTCAGAAAAAGCCCAATCAGCAGATGTGCACATGCATGCCTTTTCAGCGAAGCTCGACAGCGGAGCTGTTCGCAGTCGCCGGCGTCTTTGCAACTGGGCGCCTTCCTCTGGGCTCATCTCCTAAATGAGTGTCTGAACCCAGAGGGGAGGACTCGCGTTCAAGTGGAACTACCACATAGCAGCACATCTGCCAGGACCTTGCATTGAGCCTTGAGTGAATTCAGCCGAAATTTCACAAAACCAGCAAACCTGACCGCCTTCTAGAGGGCCCTAAGCAATTTACACAGGGTAGGGCCATATTATGTTGTAAGTATGACAGGAAAGCGACATTATGGTTTAGGAATTATTCAAAGCCCTACACCCCTAAACCTCTAAACCCTAAAATATACAAACCCTTGGGTCAACCCTAAACCCTAGACCCTAAAAATATCCAGACCCTTGGATTAAAATCCTCTCGATACTCGGACCCTTGCATTAAAATCTTGTCGAATGCCCGAGCCCCACGCATACCAAACTCTGAGCCCGAAGCCCGAACCCAAGGGTATCCGTGCATGGGCCTGCCACGGTTCAGGGTTCAGGGTTTAGGGTTTAGGGTTTAGGGTTTAGGGTTTAGGGTTTAGGGTTTAGGGTTTAGGGTTTAGGGTTACCTTAACCACCAAAAGTAGGTAAACAAAACAATGGCCCAACACCTACAGAAGGCTGCTTGTTGTTCTACATACCTTTGGGGTCCACGGTTAAGGGTCTAGGGCTTCACTGGCATCGGTGTTACTTTCAGGCCTCCTCTCTACACCGCGTCGGGTCACTAAATCCCAGCCAACCTAAACCCGAAACCCTAAACCCAAACCCCTGTTTGGTTCCTTGATGGCTGAAGCTTTGGGGGTTTCGGGTGTATAGGGTCTACAGCATAGCATAGGAAGTGCTCCGCTGCTACAAGCCGAAGCAGAAAGGGTTCTGGGCTCCCATCAAACATAGTTTCGCAGCATCACCTGAAACATCAGTAAGGGCGCCTTTCTTGCAAATGTAACTTGGAAAAGCCCTAGACCGTAAACCCTAAATCAAACCCAAACCCCAAACCCCTAAACCTAACGAACAACACTGGGGACCGAAGATAACAAGTCTTTGATACAACATCAGATGCAAAACCCTGAGAACACCTTTCAGGCAACCCGTCCGAAACCCTATAAACCCCCTCCCCTCAAGAAGCCCTATAAACCCCTCCCCTCAAGAAACCCTTCCAAAACCCTGTTAAAACCGTGAAAGAAACCGTAGAGCACCCGTTGTGAGAGCAAAAACCAAAGCTTTCAGATTCACCCGTCTTCGTCTGGTCCTCACAATTCTGTACTGCAAGGAGTCCGGCCGTGGGAGCTTGAAGTGATCTTGCCGGAACAACCCCCGGCCCGTTTCGAAGAGCCCAGGGATTTAACGCTGTCGGCCATGTCGGCTTTTTGGAGTAAGGGTCAGTAAGGGTTCTGTTTGGTATTCCAGGATGGTGTGCGGGCTGTAACGCGGGGCCTCAAGAATTAAAACAGGTCTTCGTCGAGGGCGTGTTACAGTAATACAGGGGCCTTCACAATCAGAATAGGGTTTTGGGGTCCTGTATAGTATAAATATACTAAAGAATCCCCAAAATAATATAGGTAATTATTAGGGCCCCTATATTACATCTTATTCGTAATTCAATCAGACCGCTATGTTGGGCTATAACTGAGGGGAAGATCTTCGTATTTCAGTCAGACCCCTATA